TACTGTGTGTGATCTAATGGGTAAGGAAAGTAGGTTAGGGAGAATTAGTCAAGGTGAACAAATAGAATAATAATAAAAAGTTCACTGAAGTTAAAATATGTTTTTGGTGATTATTTTTTCTCATTTTTCCTCCATCTTTGATGACAGAAATTAAATTAACTTTACATTACTTTTATTACCATTATAGAGATGGATAGATAAACTGTATAAGTGTAGCTGAATAGTTGTTGTATTAGAGGACAGATAGAGGGAATGTAAAGAAAGACTTTTTAAACTAGGGAGATAAAGGAAGGGAAAATACAGTTGGGATAAAATTATACACATTAACAAAGTAACAACATTTCAACAAAATGAAACAAAACAAAACAAAAATAGAAAATTGAGGTCAGTTTCTTGATGAAATATAAGATTATTATTTAGTTAAATTAGGTCAAAACTAATTTTAGATTATTGAGTTTAGCCTTCTGTTTAGTGATGTAATACAAGAAGTAATCAAGCGACTTTTTTTTGTCAAAAAATGAAATGCTAAAATTAGTTTTTTTTTCATTTCACAACAGTATTTTATTACTGTTGACATATGCCTTTTTCCACTGAGACAAATTCATGGAAAGATAAAGCTGAGAGGTGTAAATGAAAGGCATTGGCTTCTGTTAAATTCACACCAATAAACTGAATGGTTCTTGAACATACTAATTATTTAGATTAAGTTAAATAAGGTAGTTGTAGGCAGTCATCTAATGATAACAGTTCAAAGTACACCGTGTTGGCTAACTAGCCAGCATCCTGGCCACTGTGCAAACAAGGGACTTGATGCATGCCACTAATTACTTACTAGGTAATTAAGTTGCCATTACAGCTCTACAGGAAGCCAATTTCAAGCACAAATAGCTCAGTGGTAACGTCTCTGACTGCTGAACTGAGTGACATGGGTTTGAATCTCTAAGAACTTATGAATTCTTCAAAGATTGCCAATATGCTATGTTGACTGGTGAGTGCCAATAAGCACGAAATCTAGGTCAGGCTGGGCTCCCTTCTGATTGACTCCAGCCATTTGTAGCAGCAATTCAGAGTTCATTGTGCTGGCGAGCCACCTAGAGTGGTGGCCACATTGCAAAAATAATTGACTGTTAGAATTTAGTCTGCAGTAAACAAAGGACTAGACACATGACACTAGTGAAGCCTAAGATCTTTGGCGTAGTGCAGTGAATGAGAATCCCATATTCCTTACTGTTAAACTGCTTGTGTATGGATCATTTATCCAGTCTGCTAGCACATAATAATTAATAAAGGTTATTTTAATCCTATACTGATCTTCATGCACTCCACATCTGATAACAGATCTTATTACTGGTTGAAATTTAAATATTCCCATTATGATAATAAATATCATTATTCCCTAGGGCTTCAACAACACATCTCCACTTTGTTCTGTTTTCTGCCATCCTCTTCAGCTGAGTCCACGATTGACCAAACTCTCTCATCTCTTCCTCACACAATCTCCTCCATGTCACCCTATCACTGACGACCCACTCGTTGCTTCCCAACGGGATTCCACTCAAGCGATTGCCTGCATTGCGCGTGATGTCATTCGGTGGCCTCCTCAATGTATTCCTGATCCGTCTCCACTTTCTCCCACATATTTGTTGAGCAATCGGCTCTTGCTTGTTGGCTTGTTCCCATAGTTTTTTTGTTGCTTATTCTTTCTGGCCATATGATCTTCATTATGGAGCCAGCGAAGATAGTTGTTGATAAAAGTCTGCAGCAGGCTGTTGGAAACCCTTTCCGTGACACGCATAGAAGAACAGACTTCACACTGGTGTTGAAAATGCGAATCTTGTTCCTTATGCTGAGTGCGGAAGATTTTCAAACTGATTTCAGGTTGATGAAGGCATATCTCGCCTTTCCGATCCTGACCTTGACATCTTCGTCCGTTACGACTGCCAGTAGTTAGAACGATGCTTCCCAGATAAGTGAAGTAGGCAACCTCTGTTAAATCTCTCCCATTGATGGTGATTGGTGCTGGTTGTTGTTGTTGTTGCTGTTGATTGGTTATCTTCATCACCTCCGTCTTCTCTGTGTTAACCTGCAGTTCTGTTTTCGCTGCTGACCCCTTCAGCCAGTTTGTTGGTTTTCGCCTGTAAGTCTTCGAGTTTATGTGACATTAGACACACATCATCCATACGCGAAATCCAGATATTCTAGAGTCTTCTTATTGGTCGTCCAATGTATTCCTGACTCCTCGCCCCCATCAGTCTGACGCATAATCCAGTCCACCACAAATAAGAATGTCATCGGCGACAGTGGGCAGACAGCCTTGTCTTACTCCTGTATGCACTTGAAACGCCTCGGTGAGTTTTCCGTTGTGTATCACTTGACACGTGGCATTGTCATATATCCGGCTGTCGAATGAGGTCGACAAAGACATGAAGTACGCCGTGGTGTTGAAGTAGTTTCCATATTACTTCTTGGTCAATGCTGTCTGTCGAAGGCCCTTTTGAAGTCGATGAAGTTGATGTACAGAGGGGTTTGACTGCCATTCTATGCTTTGTTCGATGACGATTTAAGCAAGCAAATATATATTTTAAGCAAATTCTCATCAGATTTACAGTCACATAACAAAATAATTATCACAGGCATTTGAAACAATGTAGAACACTAGATTCAAATATAATCTAGTAGAATGTAAATAAAATAGTAATAATAATAACAATAGTAATGAAATGTGAAAAAAGTTTGAAATACGCAAATATAGCCCATTATGATAATGATAATGAAGTTAGCAGTATAAGATAAGCAGAAACATAACATCTACGGTTATCCAGGTCACTGAGATAACCATTCTAGGTTGGAATTAAAAGCCATGGGAATTAGAGGGATTGAAAAAAACTTTTTCTAAGCACAGACACTGGGTTAGAACTTTTCGATGGCGACTGCATCAGCCATGCTTGTCAACACTAAGTTTAAAATTCGTCGCTGGTTGTATAATTCCAATGCAGATGAAGTATAAACCTTTACAGTTTTATACAAGGTACCACCTAAATTCTCAAGATTTGTACGCTCTCATCTCCTGCTCACAGGATCTTCCCCCGACAGGCGCCCAAATTGTGTTTTCCCAATAGAGTTCCACTCGAGCGATGGCCTGCAGTGTGCACAATGTCATCCAACGGTCTCTTCAGCTTGTGTCTTATCCAAGTCCATTTTTTGGCGAATATTTCTTGAGCAATAGATTCCTGAGTGGTTCTTCTCAGAGTGTGCTCCTTATTTTGCAAAGCTACAGCTTCATGTGATAAATTTCACAAACCTAACATTCATATCTTACAAAAGTAATAACGGTTGAAAACTTTATTATTACGGCAAAAGCATTAAAACAAAGATTTTAACTGATCAAAGGTGATCGATTGTTTGAGATAATGTTAAAAATGTACACCTCTAATGAGCATATTTTAGGTTCATTTGTCTAAGCAATTTAATGCTTTTGTTTAAAAGTTGTCTTTTACTGTGTTGATCACTTAAATAAGCTAAGCAAAATACTTCATTGAATAATATTCAGACATTTAGGAAAAACAAAAAAGTGAGCAAAGAATATCCTTTTCGACAATTCCCTCTTCTGGCTCTACAACTATATGTATATATTTATTTACACAGAATATTCTTGAATAATCGTCATTAACAATATTGGTGTTTTTTAAATAATATCAATTTGTTAAGATCACAATGGAATTACAGCTCAAGAAAGACGTCTAAGTTATAATAAGCATAAAAATGTAATAGCAAATAGAATATGAAATAAGATTAAGGAAATTTCCACAACAAATTAAGGATCAATAAAACCTTTATGGACAGGGTGAGGACAGTGTCTGAACCAATTACTTTTGGATGTATAAGTCAGGTCTCTTGATGTAGATCTCAACAGCCTCAAAAATATGTAGTAGACGAACTCTTAAGGTAAAACTAGGATTAGTCGGAATACGGTAGATGACTTTGGAAGCTTTGTTCACGTCAATCTTGTGTTCTGTATACACGAGATGAGATACAATAAAGCTATGAATGGATTTTGTTTGTCTTTAACTTAACCACGCAGGATGATGTTTGGAAACCCAACGAGAAACACACCTAACTGTACGGCCTATGTTATTGGCTCCATAGGAGCAATCAAATTAGTAGATACACATAGAAGAGGTGAAATAAGCCAGTTTATCTTTTACTCCCGAAAGCGAAATAGGAGTGGTTTTGAAGACACAGTAAAAGAATTCAGCAGTGCGTTTTACCACCGTATCCCTTAAGTGTTGTGTTAATATCTCACTGATGTTATCCCCGAGGATCTGAAGTTGTAAGAATAAGACCTTTTTCGGAAATATTGGTACTTTGGCCTGCCTTCACTTTTGATACATTTTCTTGTCTATGAATTTTTCTGGGTGACCGTTCTCACTCAGCAACTGTTTAATGATATTAAGCTCTTCATATTCTTATTCAGTAGTTATCTAAAGTCTTCACTACCCTTAAAACCCTGAAGGTATCGATGATTTCTATGCCTAACTTAGCATATTTTATGAAAGATAACAATGATAATAATAACAAAGCTTTATTTCAGACAATATATGAACACGTAGTACAGATATTTGCAGAGAATTTTGTTCCAAACTATTTCATCTTAGTACAAGATCTACGTGTGAAGTAATAATCCGGATTATACTGCATGATGTAGTGTTGTTGAGTATGAAGAAGTATATTGTTTCCTCATTTCCTTCAAGAATTTCACAGTGTTTAGCTGGAAGCTAATTAAATATGCGCGCAATTTCATGTCGTGATCATATAATATAATTTCATGATTAAAACAATAAGAAATGCAGAAACATTTAAGCATTTTGATGGATGGAGTTTTCCGGTAGCTCAATGATTTAAACAGCCTGTTGAAGGATTTTTGCCTATCACGAAAACAGCATCGTTGTTGATAAAGTCGATGTCTTCATTTTTTTCTCTTTTTTCCATTTTACTTTTAGAGAATGTAAAATCATCAAAGATATGCATACCCAGAAGCCTAAAGGATATGGATTTGTAGCCTATTCCACAAGACAAGTAAGTAATCGATATTTGATGAAATACTCAACTTAGTATTTATCTAAATATCACACTTGACTGCGGCTTTTTCAAACTTCCAGCATGTGATCATACTTAGATTGGACACTAGTTAGTAAGTAATTAGTGTCATATGTCAAGTACACTGTTTGATGCCGACTAAAATCCTGCCTAGCGTCCAATCAAAGTATGCCATACAGTCCTGCACGACGTCAGTCACGAGCATAGATAGCTCCGTGGTGACGTTTCTGACTGCAGAACTGGATGACGTGGGTTCAAGGCGTGAACAATTAAATTCATTTCCAACCCTATCTGGAGGTAATTGTTATTTTTCACTATACCAGTTAACGAATGAACTTTTGAGTAGATGAAGTAGCTATTTCACTGCACTCTACGAAATTCAAAAAAAATTATTCAGCTTATAAATAACACAATTTAGTAATTGGAATGTCCCTCTAATTTATTCAGAATGGAAAATAATTCAAGCGAACAGTCATTCTCAATAAACTCTCCTTACAGACTCTACACTTATAAATCCATTCATTTTGACATACAATAATCAATAAAGACAAGTCAGAATTATTTCAGAAAGTGTATTGTGGAACAAGTACAAGATGGAATAATAAACAATTAGTTTTGATGGTAATTTGGAATACGTAAGGACAATAAAAATGAGATAAAATGAGGTGAAATAATTCCGTGTAGTAAGTGGTGTGTGAGGTAATATGAATACTACAGAAAAATAGGCCGGAAAATGGGATAGACTAGACGTGAGTTTGAAAGTGATAAATAGCAATAATAACGATTGTATGGAGGATTTCATCATGAGCTGACATCAGTTAGAGAACCACTGGAAAACCTGGGAGTACTGGACAGCTGTTTCGTCCTAGTTTGGGACTCTTCAGCAGTACGTGCCCACCGGCATTCGAACCCAGGACCTTCTGGTTACAAGGCGAGTTACAAGACGGGTTTTCCAGTGGTTCTCTAACTGATGTCAGCTCATGATGAAATCCTCCATACAATTAAACAAAATCCCTACCAAACCAATACTTGAATAACGATTGTATGAAATAAACTTAGCAGTACTATAAGTGAACGTTTTTCAAGTAAAAATGAATTTAGCGAAGTGTAATGAACAGGATTGTGTAAATGTGATTACAAGTTCAAGAAGCATTAGGTAAACCTAAGGTAATAGACATAATGAAAGTTAATCTGATGTTCACTAATGACCGGCCACAGGATGAAATTCTCTGAAGTTCTGGTTAGAAGTCGTGACCAGTGGAGTCCATCCAGCTGGGAGTGAGGATGGAGTTCCCGTCAGTGACAATGGTTGGTGGTCACTCTAAAAAATATCACGGGTTCGCAGAAGTTAGGATTCATGGGCTGGCCACTGAATTGGGTCCCATTGGCTGAATAGTACACGAGCTTGTCTTGTAAACGGAAGGTCCTGGGTTCAATGAGTCCTAAACTAGGATAAAAACGTTCTCAAGTACCCCCTGGCTTTCAATGGTTCTCCGACTGATATCGATCCGTGGTCATGAATTCGTTAAAGGTCGGAAAGAATTAGCAACAAGAAACTCTGGGAAGAAACCAACCAAGAACATATTTTCTAAGAATTATTCTGAAGAAAATGGAAATGGATCTGGCACACGCTGTGTAGACTACTAAGTGACATTGCGCGCAGTGCAGGCCATCGTTCAAGTGGAAGGTGAATGGGAAACGGCAGTTTGGGCGTCTGTCCGAGAGTGACAGGGAAGAGATTATATGAGAAGTGGGAGATAAGAGCATATAAGGGCGGTCGTCAGACCAGTTAAAGAGGACTGCAGACGACAGAACAAAATGGAGACGTAGTGCTGTGGCCCAATATTCCAATCAGAACTCAAGGCAAAATGAATAATAACAATAATGAAGAATACAGTTAGAATATTAACATGTTCATCTGTTTACCAGCGATTTTTTTATAGATCAAGTAATCACGGCAAGTTTAGTATAAATAACTTGCATATTTTAATTTAAAAATCACACTAGTTACTAGTGTCTAACCAAAGTATCCGCAACTGTCTTACAGGAGGTCAGTCACGAGCCTGAATAGCTCAGTGGAAACGACTCTGACTGCAGTACTCACTGGGTGACGCTGGTGTTCGAATCTCAGAAGGGACATGAGTTCCTTCAAGGATGCAGTCGTGCCTTGCTGACGAGTGCCAACTAGCCCGAAACCTAGGTCCAAGGCTTCCTACCGATTGCCTCCAACCATCTAATATCATCAAGAAGAATTTTAAACTGAGAAGTAATGTGTGTATATATACATTGATATTCATAAATTTTTTTTTCTGTAAGGAAGCAGAGCGTGCAATTCGTATTATGAATGGTCAGATAATTGGTACTAGAGCTATAAGAACCAATTGGGCTGTACGTAAAGATCCAGCTGATCAAGCTAAAGGTAAGTCAAGACAAATTCCAGTACATTTACACAAAAATGATTACTCAATATCTTGAAATACAACTACAACGTATCGACTTACTCTATGTAATGCATAGGAGTACATATATTTATATATATATATATAATAAATAAAATGAGATGGAACTGTTACACGGGATACCCTTCTCTGCCGTGAGGCGAAAGCGCCTCCTAGTTTTGCAATGAAATGTCAAAAGAATAATTAGACCACATTCTATACAATGTATCCTTCCAAATCGTCTAATCTTAAACCTAAGCTTAACCTATCTTTAATCCAACTCTAAAGCGAAACTACCCCTAAAGTGGCCTTAGTATAACTCGAACCAACCCCAGTATATCTCTTATTAGGTAAACCAAACCCTGATGTATCCTTAGCCAAAACTTTAACTTAATCTTTCCTAAATTTAACCTAAAACCCACCGCATATTCTGTTTAACATCATAACATTTTATTAAGCATATTTTATTCATAATTATAGTATTATTTACCCGGTCTTACTAACTTACTTACTGAACGCTGAAAGGTCATAACCACTGCCACACTTCTTCGATGTTTAGAGGTTTAACTTGGCCAGAATTAGCTTAGCGATTCAACCGTCCAAACTGCTGACAGATTAAATTAGATTCTCAAGTATTGGTTTTGCAGGGATTTTGTTTGGTTGCATGGAGGATTTCATCATGAGCTGACATTAGTTAGAGAACCACTGAAAGACCTGCAGGGAGTACTGGACAGCTGTTTCGCCCTAGTTTGGGACTCTACATCAGTACGCACCCACCACCACTGTTCTAACCCAAGACCTTCTGGTTACTAGGTGAGCTCGTAGACCATTGAGCCACTGGGACCCGACCCAATGGTCCTTGAATTCTAATTTCTGCCAATTCACGACATAGCGCAACCATTTCGCAATGTCTTCTTCAATGAGTTACTGTTTCATCTTCAACCTGCTGTACCCCACTGGTCACGGCTTCTTACTAGAACCCCAGGTTAAGTGCCTGAATAGGGCCAGTCATTAGTGAACATCAGATTAATTTTCAAGCATTGGTTTTGTAGGGATTTTGTTTGATTTCATGGAGAATTTCATCATGAGCTGACATCATTTAGAGAACCACTGGAAAACCTGGGAGTACTGGGAAGCTGTTTCGTCCAAGAATACATTGTGAAATGGTCGCGCTATGTCGTGAATTGGCAGAAGTTAGAATTCAAGGACCATGGAATAGAGTTTCAGTGGCTCAACGGTCTACGAGCTCGCCTTGTATCCAGATGGTCCTGGGCTCGAACCCCGGTGGTTGCGTACCGTTGGAAAGTCCTAAATTAGATTCAGCAGTTGGATTTTTGTAACTCATTTGGCGAAATATGCCAAGTCAGTAGTTCAGTAATCATCAATTTATATTATTCTAAGACCTAGTTCGCCATCATCACAACTTTAATTAATGTACCGTAACATGGTGACTAATCTGTGAGACAAAAACTGTCTCCTGTAGAAATGTCACCATCAACATCGCCTCACCTATTTCTGATTTTCTCTTGTAATAAATACACCCTTGATTGTTGTTTTGAATAAAAACCATATTTATGAGAAAGTTATGCGTTTACAAAGATGACATACGGATGTTTTAATATATCGCATAGTCATCAAGTATAGTTACGATTTGTCGTCTTTATTTTCATGAAAGAATATGTCAACTGTTTTCCGTCATAAATGTCACAAATCATAGTGTAGACAGTTTCTAATGAAATATTCATTACGTAAGATTTCATGATGATGTACAAGAAATGCGTTTGTATGAATTATTGAACAGCTTTGACAAAATATCAATGTTATACTAGTTTTATCAAGATTTGTCAGACATTTTGCGGAAATGAACAATCAGTAAAAAGAATTTAGTCTCCCAATGTTTTCTGTGGCATCTTTCAACAGAACACATAGATAGTTCTATGCTTTACTCTGGCGCTCAGTGGAAATACTGAGTGTCTATTATCAATTTGAATCACTGTATCACTCACTTGCTTAATTAGACGCTGAATGACAACGGGAGTGCAAGTGGTGGAAATGCCCGAAAAACATCTTCGCATACCAGTCCAGAATCTTTGATTTATCTGTCATCTAATAAGGTATACTTTTCTTAAAAGGATAAGTTGAACATTTCAACGTTAAACTCCCTTGGGTTCCAAGTGGAACATATAGCGTCAACAGAACATCTACATTTCACTCAATTCTCTGAAGTCCTCGTTAGCTGGCTTCACAAGTGACCCTACGGTTTCATCTTCTTCACATCCGGTCTCTTCCATGTCACCCTCATATGTACGCCCAGCTCGTCATTTCCTATTTACCCCCAACTCGAGTGATGGCCTGCATAGCACGCAATGTGACCCAAAGATCTCCATAGTCTGTGTTCGATCCATGTCCACATCCTTCGGAATATTTGTTGAGCAATAGGTTCTTGATTCGTTCGTTCATAGAGCTTCGTGTTGCATTTCAATTTGATCTGTACACATGATTTGCTTTTCCTGAATCCAGTTTGTTCCGGTTGTACTTCTGGGTCTAGTACATCGAGTGCATCTTCTAGTCTATCGGGGATGATGCGACTTAATATTTTGCTTGGCGTCGTAAAGAGCATTATTCCGCGCCAGTTCATTTAGCGGCCTAAGTCTCACTTCTTTAGTAGTTTGACGAGGTAGTCTTTTATCCATTCCCTAAGACTTCTGCGTTTTTTGGAGGATTGCCGTCCTCTAGAACTTCTGTATTAGTGGTATTTCTGAATGAGTTGCAGGTGATCGTCGATTCAAGAGTTCTTCGAAGTGATCAGCCCACCGTCTGATTTATTCCTCCTCCTTGGTAATTAGGTCCACTTGACCATCTTGTATAGGTTTCACCTGTGTTGATCTGTTCCCGGATAGAGACCTGGTTATCTGATATAATGTTCTGAGGTCTTTTTTGCCTGCAGCCTGTTCAGCTTCAGTTGCCAATGTGTCGTAGAATTGTCTTTTGTCTTTCCGAGCACTGTTCTTCACTTTTTTTATTCAATACGATGTACACTGAACTCAGTTTCTCCTTCTGTTATCCATCTTTTTTATTGGTTCATCTACTGTTTAACCATCCTCCATTCAGATGTCCGTAGACTGCCGTTCCTCGTCTTGGCTCTTCTTTCTACTTCTAGTGGCTAGGTACTTTTCCCCCTACACAACTTTCGTAGAACTCCAGTGTTTTTCCACACATTTTTCTTGAATGAGGCCACATAATGTCGCCAACTTTGCTCTGACAGCTTCAGTGAACCTAACTCATCTAGATGCGTATTAATTCGTCTAAGTCTTACCACTGACTATAAAAACTAAGAACTTACATATTAATAAGTTCGTGGATATGCAATGTTTGGCGGTCTGCTAAATAGATTTGCATAGAAACACCAGATTAATTTTCAACAAAACATTTTTCTACTCTACAGAATAATTTAATTTTTCCTAGATTTATAAATTAGCTAATTAAATCCTGAAAGATTCTAATTATAATGGGTATGATGAAAAAGTTCTGATACTAGAGTATTCTGTATGTAAATGCACGTGCAGTAGTGACATATATACATATTACATACGTGTTCTCTTTGTTAGTATGCATTACCCCGTATATCCAATTAACTGACATAATATCAACTGCTCAACTGCTCAGTTAACATTCTGATTATTCAGATAAATACTCAGGCAGTACGTCGGATATTAACAATGACATTTTCTCAGTCATTCTTCATATTTTTCAGGATAACTAAAAAAATAAATAGATAAAATTAGTATAACTAGACGTAGAAATAATAATAATTAGTGGGAGGTTTAGGCACGGATATTTCTGTTTTATACAGCGGTAGAAATTATTTTATATTATTATTATTCCTATAGGTTTGCAGTGTAACAAAGGGATTCAACAGTACATTTCCGTTTCATTCTATTCTGTGTAGCCCTGAGTAACTGACTCCCTAGTTGAGCATAAACTCTTATTTCCCCCTCGCGTGAATTCTCCAACGTTACCTTCAGACACTCAACTCGTCGTTCTGCACTGCGCTTCCATTTCGACCAGCTGGTGTGAGATGTCACCAAACGGTCTCCTCAACTTGTGTCCTATCCATTTCCATTTTTTTCGGCATATTTGTTGGGCTGCGGCTTCTTGATTGTTCGTTGGTTGCCAGAGTTCCATGCTGCTCTTCCTTTCTGGCCATGTGATCTGCTGCATTTTTTTTATTCCTTCACGTTCCCAATGGAACATAGGGCTTCAAGCTAGAGGCTTGAAGTTTCTGTAACAGTGTTTATTTTTACAGGATGGGGTTGCTAGCCTCATGCCCAACCTTTCCTCTTCACCAGCTTTATTTCTGGCTTATAAAGGGTATAGGAGTGCGCCGGCCAGGGATCGAGCCCCGGACCATGTGAATGGTCGGCGAGCATCCTAACCGCTATGCCACCGACGCACGCTGCATGGTTATGATAAAAATTATGGTTGAGAAAAAGTATTATTCATTTGAACAAATTTCTTCTTAATATGGATAGAAAAGGCGTCGGTGGCACAGAGGTAGAGTGCTCGCCGACCACGCAGGTGGTCCAGAGTTCGATTCCCGGCCACCGACGCACTTCTTTACCTCTCTAAACCAGTAGAAAGACTGGTAAGAAGGGGAGGTTGGGCATGAGGCTGACGACCTTATCCTGTAAAAAGTAATCACCACTGCTACAGAAACTTGAAGCCTCTAGCTTGAAGTTCTATGTTCCACTGGGAACGTAAAGGAATAAAAAAATGGATAAAAAAATAGCCAACTCAACAGTAAAAATATTTATCTTAAAAAAGGAGTTTGGAGGAATAGTAATGATGGCTTTATTCTGGACAGTGTTTGTGTAATGTAACGAATTTTTACTACATGATGTCATCGCCTCATACATGACTTCTGGACAACATATTAAGTGACAGTGAATCACTTGACACACTGCTGTCTGATCTAAAGCGAAGACCAATCCATTTTGATATTTCTTCTTAGTCCCCATAAAGAAGGGTACGAAACTTGGTTGATTGTCATTTGTAAAACGTTCAGGAGCACAGTTTGAGACTCAAGGACATAACTAAAAGGTAGTTATCTCAAGCATTCGGATACATTGCCACTCACGAGTATGCTTCTTCTCAAGTTCGGTAGAAACAAGTGAACCAGCAGGTTGTAAACATTTTTAATACTCGTGAGAGTAGAAAACACCATTAGAGGTCATGTTTTAGTAGATTAAAACAATATGAACAAGAGAAATTATATGCAATATAATGATGGAAATTTTCGGTAGCCCAAATTTTAAGCAAGCCGCCAGAAAAATGAATGGTTTTTAAAGCTCAATTAGAAGTTATTACGTGAAAATATATCCAGTTAGTCTTATGAAGCTGCAAAATTAAGTAAATATTAAGATTTTGCTAGTTTCTGAGTTACTAACTGACAGAGAGGTATACTTCATATTTTCAGTGACCTCGATCTCCATGCTAAAGGGACAGAATACGTGAATATTTGCAATTAATAGTGTTCTCTGAGCTGGTTGGTTTATTTGCGGAGCTTTCGTCATCCTTCTCGACAACATCTCCCCTTCAGCGCAATTTGTAGCATAAAGTGAAATGATCTAAATTTCTTCATGAGTGATATAATTGCGTCTTCTGGTAACCATCTTTGCATATGTATTGACCATTTTTCTATTGACTTGGATTTTAAACTTTCTGGTTACCTGATTTACTTTTTATTAGTTGGTATATTTCGTCTATATTAACGTGTTTGTTAATTGTATTTTCGTTTGAGTACCAGGCTTCTAGGAATTCCCTGACTGCACTTTTGGTTTTTCCTCTGTCTAAGATTTTGACATTATCCCAATCAAATTGATGACCATGTATGGTAGAATGAATTTTCTTCTGGTCTTTGATGATGGTTCTTTGTTGGTGTTTTGATTCGACTTTAAACACTTTTTGATGAAACTTTGTGGATAATCATTGTTTTTGAAGACCGTTTGTAGGTATTTTTCTTCCATTCTTTTCAACTCTGGAGTGCTACAATGTGTTTGAACTCTTTTAAACAATGTCTGCACACAGTTTCGTTTGTGAGTAATAGGATTATTGCTAGTATAGTTGGGTATTTGATCTGTGTGCGTTGATTTTCTATATGCTTGTGTTTCTAAATCTCCTGTGTTGGTTCTCCTGATTAAGACATCTAAAAATGGGATTTTGTTATCTAATACTTCTTCTCTTGTGAATTTGATGTCTTCAAATATGTTGTTTATTAATTTATGGGTATATTCTAAACCATTTCTCTTAATTATTACAAATGTATCATCAACGTTACGTATCCAGATTTTCGGTTTAATTATAGGTAGAGCTATTAATTCTAATCTTCGCATAACGGCTTCAGCTATTAATCTTGATATGGGTGATCCCATTGGTGTTCCTTTTATTAGTTCAGATATTTGAGTATTGAATTGGAAGTATGTTGTAAGGCATAATTTTATTAGTTCAATCCAAGTTGATAATTGCGTTTTTATGTTTTCATCACTATAGAGTAATTGTTGTATTGTTTCTGTTGCTAGTTTTGGACTAATTGAAGTAAATAATGCTGTGACATCAAAGGACACCATTATTTCATTGTCTTCTACTTGAATGTTTTTGATTTTCTTTAAAAATTGGATTGACAAATTGATAGAGTGGTCGCATGATTCTGTTAGGTAATTTAATTTCCTGAAAAGTTTTTTAGATAGATTATATGTTGGTGTTCCTGGAAGCGAGACGATTGGTCGTAAGGGAATGTTTGGTTTGTGTAGTTTTGGTCTACCATAGAATCGAGGTAAAATATTGTTTTAAATTGCATTCAAAAGCTGAGGAAAGAAAAGGATATTGAAATTATCCTACACAATTTGTTATTTTTACTATGTCTAAAATCACACTTGTTAATAATCACAACAGGGGAACGAAATCGTTGACTTTGTCGTTATAATCGAAAGAAATCAAATAAAAACTTCACCGGCATTGAAATCAACTGACATTTATCATTTTTCTTGAAAGTCCAGTTGTTTTTAGTGAGGACTGTGTTTATCTGTATTTCTGTCATTCACTTCGATGATTTGATATTCAACCTTACAGATGTGTAGCCCATAACTCTGAGTATAATATAGAAGACAGGAAGTTAGGTCAAAGTTTCTTAAACAGATAATATTTCAAAATGTTTCCAAATGACTGCAAAGCAGCATACATATAATATCAACGCGTTATTATTTGATTTTTAGGTAGATTTATACAAATTGTCAGGTAATAAAACTTAGGTAATGAATTCTATGTTCAGAAACTTGGTGCGTCATGAAAATCATTTCCAACAGGCGGCTTCAGACTTTCATCAATAGCTGCCTCCTTCTCTGGCTTCCTACTGAAGATCAGATGATTGACCGGTCAGACAGAATTAGCATCAAGGAACTCTAGGAATGAACTAATCAAGAACCTTTTGCTTAACAAATACTTCGAAGCAAATGGAGGTGCATTGCACACACGCTAAGGAGACTTTTTTATGACATCATGCGCTAGGCCTTCAAGTCGAACTGGAGTGAGAAACAAAGAGTATGGTGTAGGTGTAACGGTAACAAGGAGGCGATTGTATGAGGAGGAGATGTATTTTCTTATAGGCGATCATAGGTTCAGTTGGAAATGACTGGAGAGAACACAACAAAATGAAGATGTTCTGCTGAATCCCTATGTTCTATTCAGTATAATGGTAATAAGATAGATGTTGAAAAAGCATGACTCCTCTTTCTTATCCATCTAACTGATCATTCAAAAGGAAATTAAAACTCATTAAGGAATTATTTACTTGAGCACAGTGGACTGTGCTCAAATGTTTCTCGTAAAAAAGTGCAGCTACTGAACATCTTGTAGACACTGGCCATTCTATCTCCTTCAAGATAACCTACAAAGTGAAAAGTAGCCTGCTTAAGATGGTCCACTTTCACCCCTCTCAGTTGCACTGCTTAAACTCTAGTTATCCAGATGGAGAAACTGAAGCTGTGCTTCTATTATCACGCTTAGGACCCTATTACTATCAACCTAACTGTATAACTTGTTTTTCTGATCTTTTCTGACTCATCTATCCTCTCAAACTATCAGGTAACATTAAAAAAATAGTCTGTTTCTATGCAAACCCTGATTAGAACTCACTTATTAAATTATTTATCTCATTATAGGATTCTATCACGCTTATTCAACTTCTTATATGTATTGATTAATATTAAGAACTGTTCTTATGATGATTCATCCCTTTCTTACTATCCACTTGTATATTGAATGCTACTGTACAGCTAAAGATGAAAATAAATTCAAAGAAAAGAGACTCGTCTCTGAACTACTTCTCTTTTTTTACTAATACCTAGATGGAAATTATTCATGAAATCATCTTTGTATCACTTTTACTATGTTTTTAATTTCGTATTTAAATTTTTCAATGTATCTCTTCTTTAGATCATCGTCCATTGAATTACTTAGAAGTATTTAACGCTTCATCCGCTTCAAATACAACAATTTATGTCGGTGGTATAACTAATGAACTGACAGGTAAGTAGACGCAATTTGGTAGTTTGTTTTCACGTTTGAAAAACGAAATGATTTCACTTAGAGATCCACTGAACTGGATATCTATTTCGTCCCAGTCTGAGACTCCTCATAAGTGCCCAAGCATCACCAAAGTCCGATCTCAGGACTTTCTGGTTACATGACAGGCTCGTAGACCGTTCGGACACTGAGACCTGACCTACTGGCCCATGAATTCTAACTTCCAGTGTTGTTTGCAGGGATTTGATTTGATTGGTTACATGATTTCATCATGAGCTGACATCGGATAGAGAACCATGGGGAAACCCGAGAGTACTAGACAGTTGTTTCGTCCTAGTTTGGGACTCTTAGGCGGTTCGAACCCAGGACCTTCCGGTTACAAGGCGAACTCGGAGACCATTGAGACACCTGGGACTCGATCTACTGGTCCATGAAATCCAACTTCTGCTAATTCATGGTACAGCGTGACCACCACCTGATGTCATCGGCGAGTATTTGTCCTCATACCCGACCTGCTATCGTCAACTTCTACCAATTCGTGATTTTAGAGCTACTGCCGGCTAATGCCTTCGGGAAGTATTTGTCCACACTCCCAACATGGTGGACCCCACCTCTTACGAAATATCCCCAGAACTTTCGTCCTGTAGCCAGTGACTAGCAATCCACAGATTAATTTTAAAGAGTTACTCTCTAGGGATCTGAATTGTATTTCTAGTTTGATCATGGATTGACATCAGTTACAGAAACACTGTTGTTTCTAATTGGTTCGTTGATTTAAAAAACACTTCACATTCACAATTAAAAAATTTTATAATTGATAGTTATGAGTTTATTTTTATGCTCATACAAACTAAAGTGATGAAAGCAAAAGCTTATGATTAAGAGGAACAGGAAGTTATACGTTCAGTTTAAGTAGATTTAATGCCATAGATAGAAATAAGGAGTAGAGAAGCGTAAGTGTGTATAAAGTAGTTTAAATGTAAAATAAGTTTTCACTAGGATTTAATAAGATTTTAGAAGAGATTAAATGAACTAGTAATGACTATTCTGCGAAATAATAACGATTACTTATTCCAAAACAGTACTTGTGTGATACAATATGTCACAGCATTTCGCACAATACTGAGGCCGATTTACTCAACAAGGAAAAAACACTACATGGAGTAGGGTTAAGGTTAGGGATTAACAGTAACAATAAAGTCAGAGATGTCCAAAGAACCATTTATTTTGCTTATCACGTAGTAATTCATAAGTTTCATGCTTAACACTCTCACTTTTATGTAGAACGCGGACTGAGCAGCATAACACTAAGCTTTTGTACTTGGTTGTGCGAGGATATAATCTCTGATAATGAGACTTCTAGTCCTGCTTGGTGAAACAGAAGAGGAGATATGTGAATGAAGAGGGTTCTGGGAATCAGACATTGTGGCTTTCGTCCACCCCTTGCATGATTTCAGATGTATGCCGACTACAATAGTAACCAGCTCACTTAGTAATACACCACTTGCCACACTGACAACATTTAATACCTTTCGAAATATGACACTGTCGTTTTTGAGTAGCCCAGTAAAGACTAAGGAAGCAGGGGTAATAAAGAACGATTCATAAGATGTATGAGTTAACAAACTGTGAAAATAGAGGTTGAATGATACCTGATTGATATGATAGAGAAGATTTGTAGCTCAGATGGATAATTTTGGTGTGATTGTGTTTTCTAGAGAAAATCAGAGGCATCCAAATAGATGAACAAGAAATAATGATATCCTTCGACGTCACAGCATTATATACCTCAATCGGACAAAAACTAGCAAAGGAGACCATGGAACAATTACTCAGCAACGACGAACACCTCCCACAACAATCAAAAATGCAACACACAAGCTGGATGGAATGCATAAACCTATGCCTAACAACGTACTTCCAATTCAACGGCCAAATATATGAACAAGTCAAAGGAACACCCATGGGATCACCAATATCAGGTTTGATTGCAGAAGCAGTGATGCAAAGACTCGAAAACATAATCCTACCAAAGATCAAACCCAAGATTTGGATACGTTACGTAGACGACACATTTGTAATAATCAAAAGAAACGAGTTAGATAAAACTCACAACTTAATAAACAATGTCTTCAACAACATCAAATTCACAAGAGGAGAGGAAACCGAGAACAAAATCCCATTTTTGGACGTCTTAGTCAAGAGAACAACCACAGGAGAATTGGAAACTCAAGATTATAGAAAATCAACTCACACAGACCAAATACTGAATTACAACAGCAACAATCCAATAACACACAAAAGGAATTGCATACAAACATTATTCAAGAGGGCGAGGACTCATTGCAGCACTCCCACATTAAAGAAAATTGAAGAAAAATATCTCATGGACGTCTTCCAAAAGAATGGATATCCACGGAATTTCATCAAAAGACATATACCCCCAGGCCAACCTATCAAACCAAAAGCCCACAAGGAAAGCACAAAGAAAATCGCCTTACCACATATAAAGGATATCTCAGAAATCACTGCAAGACTCTTCAAACCTTTAGGAATTGACGTCGCACACAAACCAACAAAATCACTTCACTCAGTTCTATGTCAACCAAAAGATTCAACAGCGAAAGAAGATAAAACCAACATCATCTACAAAATGTATTGTAACAACTGTGAAAAACACTACATTGACCAAAGTGGACGGGCCCTTCGTCTTCGTATCCATGAACATAAACTAACTAGCCGTCAAAAGACATGACATCCACTCCCTCATATCGCCTCACTGCATACAGACAACCACGGACATCAATTCGACTGGGACAACCAACGTTCAAATATTAGACAGAGGAAACAACAAGAATGCTAGAGAATGGTTTTAGAAGCCTGTCTGGTATTTCAGTGAATCATCAATCAATAGACACATCGAAATAGACAAAATTTATCAACCGATAAGAAAGAAACCTCACACACAAATGGTCAAAGTTCAAGTCAAAGAAACAATCAGTTCCAATACAAGTAACCTAGAAGGTGTGAAAACACACAAAAGCAACCAACCACCTCTATGGTCACAGGGAGAGATGATTAATAAACTCGTGGAGAAATCTAAAAGCTCACTTGCACAAATTGAAGTATGGGCTGAAGATGTCACCTAGTGGTGCAATGAAAGCTTCGCAAATTAACTATCCAGCTCAGAGAACACAACCACACCAAAATACCTGATTGTCTTAACTTCTTAATGTAGAAGGTAAGACGCGATATCTTCTTAGAAATCGACATGATGTGGGATGGCAGAGAAAGATCAGGGGAAAGAACTATTCCAAGGTATTTAATGTTTAACTTAGTTTACGTTTCGTTGCTCCTTACGCTACAAGCATCATATGTACGAACCAGTTCGTGCAAATTGCTTTTGTGAGTTCTTTTAAGACTGCAGATACGCAACAAGCGCGTACTACGTCACACTGTGCTTCCTTTCGACTGCATCCAAACATCTAACAACAATCAACTATGAACTCACTGATAGATAGTAGGGTAAACTGGCAAAATTTAATCGTTCACGTTCACTCTGTATATTGATAGACAAACAATCTACTCTTTTGAAATTCTTCAAAAAGTACATAAGGGGATTTGGGGTAGTAAATCCAATTCTTAAGATGGTGTAGATTACAAGCCACAATGAAATGTGAGTGTATTTATTGAAAAGGAGGAAATACTATAGAGATAACTATTATCTTGATAAATACACCCTAATGAATAATTCATTCCCAGAAGATATTTTGTTTTCTTTTTGCATGCTTGAGTTATCTTCAGGTAATTTTTGAATAAATTATGTGAATAGGCTTTCAGTTAGACAGAGAAAAGTTAAAACATATACATATATATATTTGCGTATATGTATATTCTCTTAACTTGTCAAGTTGACATTATGTTACCTATTTATAACGTGTTACCCATGAAGTACTTTTAGCATACTTCCTCAAATATCTCAAAGAGTTATTTATTTTTTTAAATATCTTATTCCTTTACTTTCCGAGTGGAACATCGGACTTCAAGGTGGAGCTTTGAAGTTCTGTTGGCAGTGGTGTTTATTTTGATGGGATGGGGTTGCTAGCCTCATTCCCAACCTTACCTCACTACCTCTCTTATTACTGGCTTGGCTAGGTTAAGGAGTTCGTCGGCTGGGAAGGAACCCTGGAGCGCATGCGTGGTTGGCAAGAATTAAACTACTGAACTACTGACTCTCACAAGTGACACATACATATTCAAATCTTCAAACGCATTGTATACCTTAAAGTGAACTTCAAAAGATGTAGGCCAATCTATCAGAATACCTAAGAATCTATCTATGAGTATCTTCAACTGCGTTAAATGTAACAAAAACAGCCGATGTGTTGTGGTCTGAAAGCAGATCGATTCTCACTGTTACAAAATTCCCTAACGAAAGCAAAAAAGACAGTTATTTGACGTAAAATTTGAGGTGCTCAGCAACGTCTTTAGGCAGCTACACAGATCCAATATGTTCTCCAGTACGAGACATGCACTATAATTTTACAAAATAACCCTTTGAAGTACTTGAAAGCCAAAAATAATATTTTTAACAACGTGGGATTGAAACTCTGTCAGCAAGAATCATACATCAGACAATTCCCCTCAGATAGTCCAAGGTCAGAATGAACTTCACTCACTCAGACAAAATTGTGGTCACAGGACAACACATAATCAATGTCATCATCCCATAACCACAAAGAGAAGCATCAAAATTCGAGAACAAACAGCAGCGAAGACCAGTAATAAGGATTACGTTAACAGGTGATGTACAAACGTCAGGACAATGATGTACATTCTCGGAGAAAGAAATAATGATTACAAATTTAGTTGAAACACCCAAATAAGAATGAATATTATAATTAGGTCGTTCAGGAAGAATTTACCAAACAACTGCTCTGTGATATTAACAACGTCATAACGAATAATATTGTTGCCAAAAGTATCCGTTTTCTAGAGTTAGTTTGTAGAGATTTCACTTGTGAGTGACTACTGAACTCAGTTGCCTGGAAATTATAGTGTGAAGTCATAATCACTGGGGTCCACCAGGTCGGATGTCAGGACAAGTACTCACCGGTGACTCCATTATAAATAAGATTTTATTTTGATAAATCACACAGTGGTATACAGTAATATTAACTGATGAACACGTTTCGAGCACAAATTATTACTGCTCATAATCATATCAAGTCACTCACACAACTTTTTACTTCATTTATATACATGAGTGAAATTGATGATTAGACATTTGAATAAAAATCAATATAGGATAATGTACATTCAGAAATAATAATATGAGTGTTATCAATCAAATACAATCAGATGGGAAATAAGACGAGTGTTTTTATAGTCAAAATAAGTAACTTGTTAGAATGTTATGATGTACGTGAATTGAAATAGAATTTTAAGATTATTTATTATCCTCCTCTGATTTGACTGGTAATAATATCTTCCATATCTCTGGTATTTGCATTGAGTCATTTCTGTTGCATGTGTTGGGTGTAGATTCACTCGATGAACCAGGCAGGATTCAGTAATCAATCTCTGTCTATCTCCACCTACCTATATTACTTCTTGGAATTTTGACTCTGTCACACGCATCCTATTGTGTAGTTGTATGTTATTGCATGCAGTGCTATTGCTGAGTTTTTTCTAAATTACTTATCTTCGTGGGATCAATCATTCTGCCCTTAGCTTAATTCTTATGTTCTGAGAATTTGACTACCCCCGACTTACTAGTTTGACCTATGTAGTTAACTCAACTCACAGTCATTGCAAGGTATTTTGTAAATTATATCATTTTGTTTAATTGGGTCCACTGGGGTCTTGATATGGTTATGAACAATAGTTTGTGTTCGAAACGTGGTCATCAGTTAATATTACTGCATAACACTGTGTGATGTATCAAAATGAAATCTTATTTATAATGGAGTTATACTCTACCACAGTGCCTGAGTTTTATACTTATATCAATACTACTCACCGGCGACGTTGACTAACAGTCGCACTGCATATATCGCGAATCGGCGAAAGTTAGAACTCATTTACCCGCCATCAAATTCTGTCCCAGTTATTGCACAGTCAACGAGCTCTCCTTTAAACCTTATCGTCCTACGTCCACTCCTTGACCGGGTCATAGGTGTGCCTCAGTTTTAGTCGTATAGTCAAGAATGTGACGTGATCATTTTGTGTTATAACCGAAACAACAATTCTTTATTCTTCCAAAGTAGAAGTCCAGAGTGACATGTTCATTAAGAAATATATATTTTGTCGGAAAGAAAGAAACGCAGATAAAAAAATAATTGTTGTGCCACATTTTCTTTCTTTCTTTTTCTTTTTTCGTTGCCTCTTTATTCCAGAAAAACTTCTTCAAGATTCATTTAAACAATTTGGTGAAATCAAAGAAATTAGGATATTTAAGGACAAAGGATTTTCATTCATTAAGTAAGTTGAATAAGGTTGTTGTTGCTGTTGTTGTTGTTGTTAATTTGGAAAAAAACGTTTGTTATACACCGAAATGATCACTTATTCACTATTGTTTCATATATATACACTACATATGTGTGTCCGAGTATACACTGTTGAGTGGTACTCATTCAGTGTAACAAATTGAATTCATACTAAGGTCAAACACTAAACATTTTTTTCTTTCAACATTTAAGTTGATGATATCCTTTATGAATTTTTTGAACAGCGAATTACTTCAGATGTTTATATATTTTGAAGTGTATTTATCCTCAAAAGACATGAGTAACTCTCATCATTGAATTTTTATTCTCATTCTCTTCTTCTTCTCCTGCTCCTTCTTTAAACACCTGAATCAATCGACACTTTAAAATTCTATGAATGATAAAAGTTGAGTTCATCACCATTCATCTGATAAAAAAAGAATACTTCATCGAGATTTTCGTTTTTTTTTTCATTGTTAAGTGGAAAATATGAGCACATTGCATTGTATTGTAGTAGGAATAGTTGTAAACAAGTTTAGAACATTGTTAAAATTCAAAAACTCTCAACAATCAGCTATTTTTTTTTGCTTTTTTCCCAATGTCATTGCATTCAACCAAGAAACATTTGCACTGAAACTTCATGCAATTCTTCTCATTGATAAAATTGAACAAAGCAAGAACAACAATTGTACCAGGATAATATGAGCTCATCTTTTATTATTATCATTTCGAGGATTCTTCTCAATTGGTTACAAACTGAACGATAAAAAATATGAATTACATCAAAGATTTAAACCATACCTTTCCACAATCACAAGGAGTAATTGGTAGGAAGTAAAAGTAACATTAATCCGGTATGATTTAACTAATTAAGAGTTACAAACACTGAGTATTTATAGAATTATTAGACGATTAGGCTTGGAAACAAAAAACAGAGTTGCATGTATATATGTGTGTTTAGAAACAAGGTTTAGCCAGAAAGAGCATAACAAAAAAGAAAGTGTTTTATCTAATAACCAATAGAAAAAAAAGGGAGAGAAAAGAACAAGTTAGGGTGAGTCATGTTTAGATGAGAGAGTAGAGTTTTCTAAACAAGAAAAAGGGTAACTCATAAAAGTTGTATATTTTGTTATCACCAGGGCAGTGCTAGATTCACCACTGTCTCTTTGGTTTGGTCGTTTGATAGCAATTGCTTCAACAAAGCATAGCAAGCTAGGTTTTTTTTGCTTGCTGATTACTTTGAACGACTTCAGGTTGTCTACAATATGACCAGTGCCTAATAGATGACGCGCAATCACACTGTTTGATGCTTGTGGACTTTTCAGTCTCAAGTTTTTTGGTATGTGTTCAGAAATGCGGACAATAACCCTTCTCTCTGTTCTTCTGATGTATGTGCTTTGGCACGTACATATAAGTTGGTAGACACAGTTGGAGGTAACATGAGGTGGGTATTTGTCCACTTTTGATTGTCTCAAACAACTAGTTGTTTGATAAACACATACAAGCTTGGCGGCTATTAGATAAAATATTTTCTTTAGTTACGTAATCTAATGTTTTGTTATGCTCTTTCTAGCTAAACCTTGTTTCTATACACACAAATATACATGCAACTCTGTTTTTTGTTTCCAAGCCTAATCGTCTAATAATTCTATAAATACTCAGTGTTTGTATCTCTTAATTAGTTAAATCATTCCGGACTAATGTTACTTTTACTTCCTACCAATTACTCCTTGTGATTGTGGAAAGGTATGGTTTAAATCTTTGATGTAATTCATATTTTTTATCGTTCAGTTCGTAACCAGTTGAGAAGAATCCTCGAAATGATAATAATAAAAGATGAGCTCATATTATCCTAGTACAATTGTTGTTCTTGATTTGCGCTGAAGGTGGAATGCCTCAAAGACTTGGGATGTTAGGAGAAGCATTTTCAACTGGTGGTTGCAGAATTTAGCTTTGTTATACAACCCAAAAATTTAGGCGTCTAGTTACTTCTTTATTATATTGAATAGTGTATCGAATGAAATTTGAAACTTGGGGCAGTCAGTGTTCTTAGATTTTCCATTTCATATCAGCAGATCATTTATTAGTAAACAAAATAGTTTTTTCCATTTACCATATAAAGGGGGAGGGGCGAAAATACAGGAATACTGGCAAGGAGATTCTAGAAAATGTGGACTTCGTGGCCGATTTATGTCAAATGTCACATAAATTTGAAGACTTTCAGGCAAAATCCAACTTGCTGGCTGAAGAGGCTGTCAGCAAAGACAGGACTTCAAGTCAACATAGAAAGGACATATGTGATGAAGCAAAGAGGCACCGATCATTATCAGTGGAATAAATTTGGAAGAGGATGCTTCTTTCAATTATCTCGGCAGTGTCTTTTCAACTACAGTTGGCAGATAGAATCGGATAGGCGAGGCACACCTCCATTACCCTAAAATCAATTTGGAAATCTGCCCCACTCACTCAGAATAAACAACAAAATTAGGATTTTTAACACCAATCTGAAATCTGTTAATTCTTCTCTATTGGTCAGGAAATTATCGGTCGCATCACAAAAATCGTTTACAGCAGTCTACTGAACACTTTTATCAACAACTGCCCACTTGACTGGCTCCACACCGAAGATCAGGTGGCCAGTTGATCTGAAAGAATTAGCAACAAAAAACTCAAGTACGTGGCAAACTGATGAGGGAGTTTTAGCTGTAATGACCACTGAATGACATAACGCGCCACTCAGGCCCTTGGTTGAGTGGAAGGTGAGTGGGAAACGACTAGCTGCGAACGAGTCCAAGGGTGATAAGAAGGAGATCGTGTGATAAGGAGACGAAACCTCATAGGGAATCTTGGCGCTGGCTAGAGAGGAAGACTACATAGAACAAGATGAAACAGAAATGTTCTGCTAAAATCGTATGTACCACTGGGAACCTAAGGGAACAATTAGATATAATAATTCACTTACATATTTCATGGTTATGTGGTATTTAAATCTTAGTGGCTAAAGTGAATTCGCTACCGAATTAATGACCAAAGTTTTCATGTTGGTTTATAGGGAGGCATATTTATCAACCTAAGAATGTTGATACAATGTATCCAGCATCTTTGGTTTAGTCTGCACTAGAATTCTCCTCCTCTTGAAACTAAATGTGGTTGCGATATCTCATATAAATGATTTCGGTTTCAGTAATATGACACATCTGCTGCAGTCTGTTAAAATTAAGTGATTCCTACGTATATTTTTAGAAATTTTATTCAGAATAAATTTATTGTGAAAAAAAGTCTTGATAAAGCAGTTGTAATTTTTTGGGTGTCAAAGTATGTAACATTTTCTGACAAGCCTGAAAGGTGAACGCTTAGTGTTCGTTTACCATGCGTGAAGTTAACGATCAACTTGCATGAAGAAGTAAATCAATAAAGTCAACATTTACTCCTCTTCTTTCTGCAGATAGTGTCTTGAATAAATACAAATATTTAACATTATTACCGAATTAGAACACACATACTTAGTGAGAACGGAACTTTGAATTGCTAATATCTTGGTTACTATCGTTACTAGCAGGTTGTATACTTTCAACATCAGCTGCCCACTTCTCTGACTCCCTACTGAAGATCAGTTGACCAGAAAGAGTTAGAAGCCAGTAACTGCAACTACGAACCATCCAAGAAACTAACAAATAAGTAGAAACGAAAGCAGATGGATCGAACACAAACTGGGGAGACCGCTAAATTACATTACCGACCAGGCCATCACTCGAATGGAGCCCGAATGACAAACAGCCGGATGGGCACTGCTCTGAGGATGACATGGAAGAGATGGTATGAGGAGGGAACGAAAGCTTATGGGAATAGACTAAAATGGAGATGTTCTGCTGACACTTTACGTTCCATTCAGAATCCAAGGGAACAATAATAATAATACTGAAGATTACTGTCGTTAGAATATCAACATCAATTTTATGATCTCAATCGGATTAGAAGTCCAGAGATTATTGTGGTATTCTCTTCCTATAGTTTTCTCTTAGTTTCAATAGAGTAATAAATTATCTAATCATGGTATGTACTACGAAAGTATGCTCGGAACTTAGGTCTAAACAGTTTCTTTCCAACTATTTCACTCAAATACCACATTTTAATGTTATCAGCATGAACTTTATAAATGCTCATTGACTGTAGAGTGAAATCATACAAAAAGAGTTTGCCAGTAATGTTATGACTGAAACAGATCCCCTACCATCCAACCCTGAAATGTAGACCTTATTATCATATCACTTAAATAAGTGGGAGTTGGATAAAACTGATCAGACTTCCTGATATCTAATTATTCAAACACTTGTCAATTAAATGGAAAATAATATGCTCTGATGCCTTATTTGAAACACATTTTCAACTTCTTTGAATTTTCTGAATAATGCGTTCATCAAAGGGATATACCGATCATACAAGCGTAATAATTTCTAGTAACCAACAGCTAGCTTTTAAAGTTGTTACCTCACTTTTCAACAGTTTAAAACCTCACTGTCTTACTGTCATGCAATAAAAGTTAAAATTCGTTACACTAGCCAAAGGAGACAAATGCATGACCGAAATATCTCAAACTGTCATTTATACTCTTAATGCAGATGTATGTGAAGCAGAAAATATTAGTTCTCCGTACTAAATACCTTCTACATTTATGAAAGTAACAACATTGGTTACGGTAAATACTCTGCAAGAAGTGTGAAGTATTAAAACATAAAAAATTGTTACAATTCTTAAATTGTACAAGAAAAAACCGTGTTACTGTGACATTCATAGTAAATTTATTTGACAGGGATGATACGTTCCCTTGACAAAAACGTATACTTAGATTGTCAAATAAATATTACAGCATTGAATGGTCTCTACAGAACTCTATTCTGAATAATGATAAACAGTACGTATACATGAAGCTCTATGCTACTAATTGAGCGAAATAAGTAATTGTATACCACTCGTGTCCAAACACTGGATAGCCATTTCGCTCGTTTGGGGTCAAGCTCATCATTGTCGGTGTATCCTGTTTCGACTCAGCTCAGGGAGATGGCCGAGTCAACTCAAACCTCTCGATTTTCCACTAGCTACTGAGGCGAACTAGTAATAATATAAGCCAAATTCAAAACTCAAGATCAGATAGCCAGAAAAGATCAGCAACAAGGAGGGATCTCTGGGAGCGAACCAACCAGGAACCGATCGTGAAACAAATAGGCAGGAAGAAATGCAGTTGGTGGATTGGTCATACTCTAAGGAAACCATCAAGTGACATCACTAGACAAGCCATCACTGGAGTGGAACCCGAAAGGGAAGCGGCGAGTTGGTTATATAAGGGTGATTTAAAGGAGGTCATGTGAAGAGGAGATGAAAACGTGTGGGCAGACTTGGAGCCAGGTGAAGACCCTAGCAGAGGACAGAACGCAATGGAGACGCATGGCTGAAGCCCTTTGTTCCTCTAGGAAGTAAAGGAAACAATAATAATAGTCACAATTTCATGAATAAAATTTACTGAAACATTAAATGTTCCAAGAAAGAAACTTTGTATGAACCAGGATTCAAAGGGATATTTGACCTTAGAAATCCTTGAGAGAAGTATTCCATCTTCAGCAACGCTAACAGTAGTGTTCTCCAGTTGTCCATTGGTTTGCAGAAGCCTTAGGGATAAGATTTCCCACCTAACCATTTCTGCATGCATATATCAGTACACTTGTTGCTGTGAAGGCACGTACATTAAGCGTTCGGCGTGTTTCCTATCTAAGAGTGCTCAAGAATGCCATCCCTCATTTCTCCAGAAAGGAAGTAGTGGTTCTATAAAGAATGTGATAATCGAACACCTTGTCAACACTAGTCACTTCATCTGAACAAACGCCTCCTTCAAAGTAATCTACAAAGTGGATACTAGCCAGTCAAATGCTGCTTACAGCCTAAATAAATTATTGAGTTTATATACAGAAACATCTTAACATGCTTGCAAATTTTACATGCTGTCAGTTGATAGGAAGTTTCAAACATAATGAATAGTGCTCAGAAAATTACACTTACATAGTTTTATACAAGGAGTTCAAGTTTAAACAAAATCAATGTATGCATACAATGGTTAAGGAGTTGCATAATAAGGACGAGAAGTGCGTAAGATGATAAGTAACTAATAAATTGGGTAATAATGTTCTGAGTTCAACTCAAATTAAGGAAACAACAGACGCCTGAAACCTGATTTATGTGTTCAGAAAGAAGCAGTTATTACTCTTTCCTTGTCCTGGTAAATGGATATCTTTATTCTCCCTTTCATTTGACTGCGCAATCTTTGGCTTTAACTTCAACCCCTTTGATATAGTGTAATTTTACTTGTCTCTTGTTTCTATGGATTGAGTTGAACTCAGCACATAGTTACCTAACTTATTACTCACTGACCGTCTTATTCACCTCTCATCTCTATCGCGTAACTCCTTTACCATTGTATACATACAATGATTTTTTGTTTAAACTTGAACTGTCTATCGACTGAAATCATTTGAAAATTACAAGTATGTTGAAACCCTTCTGTACATTAACTCAATAATTTATTTAGGCTGTAAGCAGCGGCTGATGAAAAGTTAATGAAGTAGATGATAGTACCATCTTATTCTTCACAGGCTTGAATTTTGTTCACTTTTTTTCCTAACTGCTTATAACTCTTGTATTTCTTTAGAACTCTTACATAATTCCATATTTTCTTTCGTGTCCATGATCACAAGTCCCTAATTAGATTAATCACCTTATGACATAATTTCAATACACTTTTTCAACTTCTTTTATGCATTGACTGACGTAAACAGCTATGGCTGTGACAACTCATCACTTATGTTACTACCCTATTTCATGGGAAAAAATTGTATACAAATTCCATTGTACATCTGAGTAAATGACTTCTCTGAAAAGAGCCTCTTTTCTGAACTAAGGTGTTTTGTTTTCATTATTGGCTGGATGGGGATTATTCATGAAATTCACGTTATGTTAAACAGTTAGCGGTAGGGTGGTTTGAACCGATTTACCTCCCTGAGTTGACTCACCGTTTATGAGCTCTGTCCCAAACAAGTCAAACGGCCATCCTGTGGTGTTTATATCACCTCAATCTGATTGGCTGGCTGGCTGGCTGGCTAGCAAGCACTGCTGTGTGATATGACTGGTACACCACTACTCATTTGAATCTGTCAGTAGTATACAGTTTTGCATGAAAATGTTAGCCTTCTTGATTATCACTTATGGCATCAAGCAGATCACATTCTGTGGTGATCTGACTAGCCTGGTTTCCAAAAAACTGTGGAAATAGCTGCCCCCATCCTTAAGCCTTGCATGATTACTTAGATCACATGTAGACATATTGATTTTAGTCATATGGTTGGCTGAATTAGATCTATGATAGTAGTAATAATAATAATAATATTAATAACATTAATTTCTATTTCAGCATAAAAACTTGTTTGTTCTTTTTTTCCTCTTTCTTTCTTTTTACATAATCTAAATATACTAAGAAGATTATCAGACTAATTTCTTATTGCAACTAGGCAAAAAGAAGGATGGAAAATTAGTATGTCTGTTATGTTCTAAATACGCATAATAACAAACCCTCTTTCAGAGGAAAATACATTTATGTGTTCTAAGTGGAATTATGTTTCAATCTAAGAAACAAGTTCTGCCCAAAATAATTAGAAATGTTTTTATCTATTTGGAAATTAATACGACAAGATAAAACAGTAGATTATACTTGAATTCGTCGTGAAAATATACTATCAGCTGAATAAAGCTGGAGTGTTACTACTGATTTGTGGTTGTCATCTAACTCGACTAGAACTCGCCTACACATACGACACTATAACCAAGTGACCACTTGAAAAATATACCCCACACTGAGAAAGACACAAAAGTTAGACATAATTGCGACAAAAGTGATAACGTCTTACTTTTCAAAATACACGGTATGTGTAGTTAACGAATCCCCAGAAATTTGAATCATGAATAAATAATCAATACATGATTGATTGTATGACCTTGAAAGTCTTCAGAAATTCAAGCCATAATTTAACCAATCAAAAACTGTTTCACCAGCCTATCACTTTAGTACATGCATCAATCACAACTTCAGGGCTTAAAAACGATAGATTTTCCGATCTTACACTCTGAAAACAAGGTGGTCAGATGTACAGGTACAAATCTCAGTTAATCTTACTACCAGTTAGCGAACTGCTGTTTTCCTTGTATTCCAGAGAAACTTTAGCTGCGTAGCTAGTGTGATCTTATACTGACAATGTCAAAAATTAAAAATAACGTTCACAGAGTACAAACGCATCAATGACCTGAAGAAACGCGTACCATTCATTGGATTACAGAACCTGCCATCTTAGAGCCTTGGATTTAGCGCAAATGCTAACATAATAATAAGGAGGAACATTTGAGACGATACGTCACCTTGACGTAACTGAAAAAAATACTTTCCAATTACACTGAACAGTATCAGATTTCTAGCTGCATAGTTAACAAAACGGTTTTATCTACATGAACAACAAACACACTACTCCCATTTATTTATTTATTTATTTAGAAGAAAAGTACAGATAATAATAGTACATCCTCAATCAAATACTTGCATTAACCCTAATGCTTACCTCAGTCTGAAAACTTACCTTAATCCTAACATTAACAGTTCTTAAAAATGAGATCAAGATGAAATCTGCTTATTGATTGGTGGACAGAGTTCACAGTGGCGCTGTAATAACGGCAGGTTCTGTAATTTAACGAACTGTGGCGTTAAAGGTTACTGGTTCGTTCAAACTCTGTGGTTGCTATCCTTTAGGTTGACTCGGACAACAGCATATGATTTAATTACACGACATCTGAAATGATAGTCTGTTAAACAATTGGTTGGGTATTCCACCTCATCTTATAAAGCACTGGACTTGTAAATAGGAAACCATTGTCTCGAATGCTGTTGGTACCCAGACTTTCAATTCATTTTCAATCATCAGGTGCACACGAAATTATATCTATGGAACGACTAAAAACGCACGTGTTGTGGTCTGAATGCAGGAAGCCAATCTTTGTGTTCTACTGTACAGGTGACCGAAACTTCCTTGAGTCACTCACGGTCATAAAATACCCCAGCGACAACAAAATGGTGTTTATTTGCAATAAGATCTGAGATACTGTTTAAAAGTAATAAAATATGAAAGCAAAGAATTACCTCAACAATGACGTTAGGCAGCTGTAAAAATCCTATCAGTCCTCACTTACAAACTGGGTACTGTAATACAAAATTACTTAAACAAAATCAACTACTTATTGCTCTACAAATAATCGACCACGCAGTTCGTACAAAATGTAGTTTCAGTGAGTTATGTTTTGAACTTTACAGTTTTTAAACCAGTTCTGTTAATACCACCTTGTTTCTTTGTTTCTCCTCTCTAAAAACAACAGATTCGATTCTCATGTCGCTGCTACACAGGCGATTGTTACTATGCATGGAAAAATTGTTGGTGATCAAGCATGTAAATGTTCATGGGGGAAGGAACCTTCTTTTACAAATAAACAAGGATTGGTAAGAATTTTTTTCAGGTCGTTTGTTTTCTTAACGCCTAGTCAATTTTAAGGTAATTATCAACATGAATCAACCTAGCCTGGCTTTTTAATTTTCTGTGCCCAGTAAAATCGACAAAAATTCGGATTTTCAACATCAGTGTTAAAGTAACTCATTTCATCTACATGGGTTAGAAACCTGAAATATGCATCACTAAAAATCATTTCCAACGCTCCATTGAGTAAATTTATCAACACCTGCGCACTCCGCTAGATCCAATGTCGAAGATCATATTGCTGGTCAGAAAGAATCAGCAAAAAGGAACTCCATGAAGAAAAAATTCAAGAACCTATCGGTCAAGAAATATTCCTAGGTAAATGGAGATGTTTGGGAAATTCACTGAAGAGACTGTTTGGTGACATCTTGTGATAGGCCGTCGGTTAGTACCAAAATGGGAAACGTCTAGTTGGGCGTGGTTATGAGGTTGACATGGGGAAAATTGTATGAACAGAAAATTGGGGAAAGCTAACGAGACCTACCGCTAAGAGAATTAAATAGAGAGGTCTTGTTGAATGTCTGTGTTCCACTTGGAACCCAAGAGAATAATAATAAATACAAGTCAACATGCAGGAAACCGCTGACAAATGAGCAATATGGAATAATGTCTTTATAATTAATTACATTTTGATATTATCTTGCAGCGCATAATGACAACTCCATGACTTATCGACTTCGTTATCATCAGATTGTCGGGCTGTTATTTGAAACTCACCACAGTATGCTTGACAAATTTGTCACACTGCGCTTTTCCTCAACCTTGACAAACATAATCAGATACAACTTCTTGTTAGTTTCCGAAAACATCTACTTCGAAGGTAATCACTGATGTTCCAGGAGACGTGTTTTCAACAATTTCTATGACATAAAATGTGATGATAATAATAATGGCTTTATTCTAAACAGTACTTCTGATACAATATGGAACTGTCACTATGTTATGCAATACTGCATATAATTTCCTTTTTATATCACATAGTATAGGAGGGAAATAATTAACAGGATACTGATTGACACTGATAATATTATTCAATAAGAATATTAATATAAAGCTTAAATTTAATTGGAAATATTATTTAACATTATACTTATGAGGAATAAATAGCGCTATTTACTTAGTGTTTCTCAGTAATTTAGCGCTGCCAAATGAGCTATTATGAAGATTTTATACCTAGTCGTTCGGGTATAAAGTCTTCTATAGTTGCCTATAGTCCTACCTGATGAAAGGTAAGACAGAGTTCTTTATAGAGAGGATGTTCAGTGCCTGACGAGACAGTATTCGCTAATTTCTTGAACGAGTTCATGTGTCTGCCCTACTGACAGAAATTTGTGCCCTTCTCAGATTAACAGAGTCTATTTTAAGTAGCCCTGGAAAGATTAAGTTGGGAGAGCAATAAACAGGCATAGGTAGAATACAAGAATTAGCGAACAACAAAAGTAGAGATTGAGTGATGCTAGACTGCCTTAACTTCATTACGTAGAACGTTAAGCGAAATATACTTGATGTAGGAAGACCAAGAAAGGTGAGAGGAAAGAAGTAATCCAAGGTATTTAACATTCGACCCAGTTTCAACTCCACTGCCTTCTATAATACTAGAACCATGAGAGTGAACAAATCCATATAAGTCGTACTTGGGTCTTAAAGTGAAGTGAAAAACCTGACATTCAGATGGATTCAGCTTAAGGTCATTTGACTAGGACCACAAACTAATTTTTGATAAAAAGTTATTCATTTTGAAACATTCTGAGTGGAGGTTTACCGATATGGAAACAGTCATGTCTTACGCATACGTAACAAAACTGGTTTCAAGGGTTGGTTTGTAGGGATTTGATTGGTTACAGGACTTCATTATGAGCTGACATTAGTTAGAGAATCATTGGAAAACCTGAGAGTACTGGACAGTCGTTTCTTCCTAGTTTAGGGCTCTTCATCAGTATTCACCCAACGGGGTTTGGACCCAGGACCTTCTGGTTACAAGGCGAGCTCGTATACCATTAAGCCAATGGGACCCGATCCAATGGCTAGTGCATGAATTCCAACTTCTGCCAATTCACAATATAGCGCGACCCCTAGCCAATGTCTTCAGCGAGTATTTGTCCTCACACCCGACCTGCTGCACTCTACTGGTCACGACTTGTCGCTAGAACCCCGGTTCGAATCCCGGTGGTTGCCTACCGCTGAAGAGTCCTAAACTAGGACGAAACAGCTGTCCAGTACTCCCAGGTTTTCCAATGGTTCTCTAACTAATGTCCGCTCATGATGGAAAAACTGGTTTTGTCAGGATGTAGCAAGTCATTTGATACACCAATCAGAAAAGCAGCATATAAATGTGGACCTGTTGACTACGTCATCGTTGAGCAAATGATTATTTCGCCTACATTTAGACAGCCTACAATACATTTTTCACTTTGTTGTAGGTCTGAAAATAAACCAGATGGTGAAACACAAAAAACACTTTGTAGTGAATATCATATACTCCATATATAGTAATTACATCAGCATTACTTTTCTCTAACTTTCCTGTTTCCTTTCTACCATTTTCATTTTTCCAAAATAGAATGTTTTGTTAAAATGTACTACACTTTCGTTTTTTTTCTCTAAAGCCTTGTTACAAATTTCAAAAACATTTACTACTACTACTCACCTCCCTGTAAGCTTGCACACCAGAATAATTTAATAATACATATAATAACACAGTAACAATTTCCTTAGACAGTAAAAAAATATTTTTTGTGAAGTCTACTATTTTTATTTCTGGTCTGTTTTTAATTCCCTTAGAATTGATGAGATGTTGAATTTCAATCAGAGTTTTGTTTTATGCAAACGACTTGCTTTTTTGTTCCCTTCTCCTCGCTTCGCTTCCTCTCACTTACTCACTCACTCTCTCTCTCTCATTCTACCTCCACGTCTCGCTCTCTCGCATACTCTCACACTCATTATATGAATATATCATATTTAATTCAAGTTACCGAACAAAACGTCAACAATACCTACTGAGCTCTGCTTGTCATCAGTTGCTTTACTTTTCTTTTTTTAATTTGAGCAACAAAAAAGAGGAATTATTATTATATAGAATTTAATCACATTCTTTCCCTATTGAATAAAAATTTAGTCACAGAAATTATTCCCTGATTAAAATGGGTATTCAGCTGGTATTCAAACAATGCGAACTCTGGAAGAACCTAAAAATATTCAAGAATAAGAGATCAACGAAATTATTTCGTAGAATTTCATAGTTTCAGTTCTCTACGAAGTTAATGACGCATTGAATGAGGATAATTATGTCGTATGAGCTTCCACATCTCCTTTGATACTACGATATATTCAGAACTTGAAACTGTGTACAGTTAAACCTTCTAGTTATGGACTGTTGAGCTGTGAAATGGCGATTTGCCGGTGGTAACCTGCTTGAAGTAAAGCTTTAATTTTGTAGACTCTTTCAAAACACTGACTAATCTCTTCACCCTGGCAAGCTTTCTCATTTTTAACTGATTAAAAATGCCAACTAAAATTTTCAAAAGAATGGATACTGAACAAAGAGTACTCTTTTCGATAAATTCATCATCAGGTTCTACAATTACATATATATTATAATGAATGAATTAGTGTTATGAACAACATTAATGTTGTTTAAATAACATCAAATCAATTAAATTGATAGATTACAGCTGAACAGCATCAACATAAAATAAGCTGAATGTCAGAAGAATTAGGAAAGATAATATTACAAATTCATTAGTTCATAGTTTCTACTGAAGGCCGGCCAGGACAGTAGCAGTAGCTGGACTTACTTCTTTTGAACACAAATCACTGGTTGTTTGAGGTGAATTGCAATAGCCTCTGCTGTTTGGAGCATTCGGTTCTTTGACGATTTTGGTAATTTGTTAGGCACGCGGAATATTATAGAGAAGGATTCTTCTACGCTGGGTTTGTGACCGGTTTGCACCAGATGGTCTAATATCGAGCTGTTAATAGTTTTAACTACACCTTTACTTAGCCATAGTGGAATATGTTCTCGAGCACAAAAAATCAAGTTCATAAAGCAACGGCCAATATAACTCGCTCCACTAGCGCAGTTGAATTGATAGATACAATTTGAAGTGGCTAGTCTAGGTACTTCATCTTTCAATCGAGGTAGCACCATCGGTCGTGTAGAGAATAATACGTGTAGTTCGCCAGCATTAAAAGTTCTTTGAACTGATTTTCTTAATTTCCTCGTAATTATCTCGCTTGGTATATTGCCCATGAATTGTAGTCGTATATATAAAGGCTTCTTGTTTACAGACAGTGAGTAGTCCTTTTCCGCCTTCTCTGCTTCTTGATAAATTTGTCAGGATAACCATTTTCGATCAAAGTATCATATACATTGCTGAATTCATCTTCAATTACTTCCTCTGAGCATATAACTCTAACTCTGTGGCTGAGGGTCTTCACTAAATTTCTTTTGTAATTGATAGGAACGAAGCTGTGTGAAAATGTGTATATTGTCCTGTCCAAGTGCTTTTTCTATGCAAATTTCTGTTTATGCTACCGTCTGGTTTTCTTGTAAGTACGACATCCAGGAAGGCAATTCTGTCCTGGGATTTCTCTTCGCATGTGAATTTCATAGCCGAATGTACTTCATTGAATTCAGTAATTATTGTACTCCTATCAGAACCATTATCACAAAGAATAAAGGTATCATCCATATATCGGCAATAAAATGAGAGCTTACTGTTAAGGTTGTTCAGAGGTCCATTTTCTAGCTTACTTAGAAAGAAATCAGCCAGAATGGGACCCAATGGGGAGCCCATCGCCACCCCGTCCACTTGGCTGTAAAGCGTGCCGTCAAATTTTTAATTTGAAGCAGCTTCCCGTATTGTTCTTGATTTTCATTTTCCCTTATTCAAGCTGTCAACAGTTTCTAATACCACTCGCTTTAACAGGTAACTAATAAATTGAAATTAATATCCCCTTGGTTTCTCTGCAGTCCTCCCAAGTCGGCTCTATGACTGATCATAGGCTTTCATCTCTTCCTCACACGATCTTCTCCATGTCACACTGCGATAGGTAACCTGTTGTTCCCAAAAAGGATTTCACTGTTGTTATTCAACAGTCTCCCCAGAGGGTGTCTCAGTCCATCTCTACCTTCTTTGGCATATCTATTGAGCAAAAGGTACCTAGATCCGAAATGCACACGATTAACCTCAACTTGGAAAATATCGTGGTGTATGGTGGACTGATGATATTTGAAACACCTTCAAATGAGATAACACATAGTTTGCTTGATAAATAAAACTAAGATCAAATATTGAGACCATACGACAACATTTGATAAGTGTTCATGAATTAAAATGCCTTCAGACATGCTTTCTTTAGTTAAGATCTCTACAAATTGGATAGGTATTAAAGTTTGATCACAGATGAACTTCAGTTAGAGGACCAGGTAAAACTGGAAAACTGTTTCGTTCTAATCTGGCACTCTTCAGCATAACGCACCGATGACCCCACCGGTAAGGGAACCAAGCTGACCAACTGTGTCCACCAGACCAGTAGAGAAATGGTTTGGTCACTATTGGGGTCATCCTTTCGCAACCGAGAAGAGTCCCAGGTGAGGATAAAACTTGAAAATCTAATAGACCTGAGCTAGGATTGTGGACAATAACAAGCATTAAAACTCAAATATTATAAAAATGTACTTTTGGAGATAGTAAGCTTATTTGCGTAGACTTGATTAAACTTTCATTAGGTTCCACTGACCAGAACATCTGTCTGGATATATATATCTAGCAGTGTTTTTTACAACCTTATATGTGATTCCATTATGGATAAGATGTGCATTTTGATAAATCACACAGTGTTGTACAGTAATATTAACTGATGACCAAGTTTACTGTATAACAACACTGTGTGATATATCAAAATAAAAATCTTATCTATAATGGAGTTATACTGTACCACACTGCCCAAGTTTTATACTTATATCAATAATACTTATATGTGATTATTTGTATGGCAGTGTGTAACAATGAGTTCTGTAATATTAAAACGCTGACATGAAATCCAGTTTGGAGATAATAGAGAATTGTAGCTCAGAGAACACAACTTAACCAGAAATGAAATCCAGTTGGTGAGTTCTCTCACTTCCTGTTAATTTCTTTTACGGCATGACCAACATAGAGTGTTACTGGTGTGTAACAGTTTCAGCATGTTTCAGCCTCTATTACCCTGAGCAGTATTATGGCACAGTCAATGTGTTCAATACCTCAAATGCCAGATTTTCTGATACAACTAACCAAGAAGGGTGTACTTTTCCCTTTTAGTGGAATACAGTTCAGATTCTCATCTTTCGGCAATTAAACTATAACTTACATGAAGCTGGGACTAGGGTGATTATGAATTACCTGGCCTCAAGTGAGGGCTAGCTTGTGTATTTTAGTGTGTGACACTCGCTAATCGGACTCTTTCAGACGTATAGTTTATGATGATGGCGAGATCCATGGACCATCCCTTTAATGAGTTCAAGTGCCTGAATGTTGTACGAATTTCCTTTGTGAGCTAAGGGTCCTACGTTCCTGATGAGGTGCCCTAAATTAGGACAAAATAGCTATCCAGAACTCTCTGGGTTTTCTTCAAGGAATACGGTGGTTGATTAAATCACTGAGCTACCAGAATTGCCATGCATTATCGTGAAATTATACTAAGTGACCACTACATGAACTTGCGAGCATACTGAATTGGCTTTCAACAAGTCGTTGTGCAATTCTTGAAGGAAATGAAGAAAAAATATACATAAATGGCTCTCTCTCTTTATATGTAACAACACTGTGACGCATGATATGCTTCAGATTATTACATTTACGTGTGAATGTTGTATGAAGAGGAAATATTTTGGAAGTATATACACTGAAAATTTATGTATTATGTGTTCACACATTGTCTGAAGTAAAGCCTTATAATAATAATTATTATTTTTATTTGCAATTAGTAGTGTTCTCTGAGCTGGTTGGTTTAGTTGCGGAGCTTTCGTCGTCCTTCTGGACAACATCCCGGCCCCCTTCAGCACAAGTTTAAGCATAAAGTGAACTGATTTAAATTTTCCATGAGTGATATAATTGCGTCTCCCGGTAACCATCTTTACATATGCATAGATCGTTTTTTATTGACTCCGATTTTTAACTTTCTCGTCACATGATTTATTTTTTATTAGTTGGTAGATTTGGTCTACATTTACATGTTTGTGAATCGCATATTCGTTTGAGTACCAGGCTTCTAGGAATTCCCTGATTGCACTTTTGGTGTTTCCTCTATTTAAAATTTCGACATTATACCAATCAAATTGATGTCTCAAATTATCTACATGCATTGATAAAAAAAGAATATATATATCGTGTCTTTTCACAGCTAATTTGTGTTCCTGGATTCTGATTCGAGGTGGACGCCCACTTTGGCCAATGTAATGTCTGTTACAATTCATACAGTTTATTTTGTAAAGATGTTGTCCAGAAGGACGACGAAAGCTCCGCAACTAAACCAATCAGCTCAGAGAACAATACTAATTGTGAAAGTTGAGTGAACAAACTAATTGCAAATCATCCACCTGAGCTACAAATCTTCTCTATTATTTCTATTATTATTATTACTAATATTATTAAAGTTGAATCAAATTTTCGCTCTTTCAAGAGCTTACATAAATCTCTCTTTTTCCATTTTTTTATAAAGGCAAAACGTTTATCATCGGCTTTATTTGTTCCAACCGTACAAAACCCTATAAACAGTGATCAGAATGCAATTCTTTTAAGACCACAGAATTCATGGCTTACATCAGCAAATCAAAACGGTTTAATATTAGAATTACCCGCGAAAAGATCAGCAAATGAAAAGTTACATCCAATCAATATGAATTGTATAACATCAACAAATAAACTATTAACAGTTACTAATGACCATCAGCTACCCATCAGGCATACATCACAAGATACAAATAAACCGAATAATAATAATAATGTTAGCCTCACAGCAACAAATCCATTGTGGCCTTATACATGTTGGTTTACTGGGAATCCAAATCAGGACAATGCTTCTTTACCTGTACTGGTACTTGATAATTTAGCAAGAGGAACACTTTCAAATCAGCCTGTAATTCCATTCACACCTTCAGTAGATAATAATAATAATCCTCTACTCTTAGGTTTATCGAACATAGATTTAACAAAAGGGTAAGTTTGAATACTGTAATTTGTCTAACCATAAATTTTGAAATGATTTTTAATATGTAGTTATCAAAGTTGATTAATTAGTTTAATTCATTATAATTTCGTCTTGAGTAAAGACACCTACTGGTCATATGCTATGTAAAATTTCGCATAATTAATTCAACACAAGAATAAGTGAAGTGAGAAAAACCCTAGTTCTATGGTCTGGATCCGGGAAACTATGGAAACAAGCTGGAAATCGCGAAATTCTTTAAAATCATCGATAGACAATAAAGCTCATTTCTCCTCGAATTTGTCGAAGCAATTTCTATCAAAATGCTTGAAACCCCGTTTGTGTGTCCACAAAGAAACAGTTATCAGTCTTTCCTTGCCCACCCTGGTAACTGGATGTCTTTATTCTCTCTCTCTCTTTCATTTGATTACACAATCTTTGGCTTTAACCTCACCCCCTTTATATAGTGTAATTCTACTTGTCTCTTGTTTCTATGATTTGAGTTGAACTGAGTACACTGTTACCTAATTTATTAGTCACTCAGAATCTTACGCACTTCTCGTATTTATTACGTATCTCCTTTACCACTGTATGCATGCATTTACTTTGCTTCAACTTGAACTATCTGTGTAGAAACTATATAAGTGTAATTTTCTGAGCACTGTTCACTAATTCCGGAACGTCCTGTAAACTGACACCATTTTAAATTTGCAAGTATGTTACAACTTTTCTGTATATGAACTTAATAATTTATTTAGACTGTAAGCAGCAGGTGATGAGAAGCCAACAAAATAAAAATGATGGTACCATATTATTCTTCACAAACCACTGTTGGTGTTCTTGCTTTACTCAAGTACAGCTAACCGGAAATTCATTAATTTATGTGCAGTACAAAAATATCCCGACGATAGTAAAAAGACGGTTATTTTCAATAAAGTCTGCTCACCCATTTAACAATGATAACATAACATAGAAAAACAACTCAAAATTACCTCAACATTGCCGTTAGGCAGCTATGCAGATTCAATGAGATCTCAGATAAAAAACTGATTACCATATAGATGAATTTCTGAACAAAAATTAACCTTAAGAAGTGACTGAGAATCAAGCATAATTTTCCCAATAACGTGGGATCACAACCCTGTCACCAAAAACCACATCAACTATTTCCCCCGGACAGTCCAATGTCAGAATTCCCTTTATCCACTCCAACGAAATGGAAGTCATGAAACAACACATTTGAATAAAGCAAGAACAATAGTTGTTTGCGCAGAATAATAGGGAACGATCATTTATTTCATTGGCTTCTCATTGGTTGCTGCTTACAGTCTAAATAAATTATTAAGTTTATGTACAGAAAGGTTTTAACATACCTGTAAATTTAAAATGGTGTCAGTTTACAGGAGGTTCTTGAATTAGTGAACAGTGCTCAGAAAATAAAGCTTTCATAGTTTCTACACAGACAGTTCAAGTTGAAGCTAAGTAAATGTATGCATACAATGGTAAAGGAGATACGTATTAAAAACGATTAATTCTTAAAATGATGAGTGACTAGTCATTTAGGTGACAATGTACTGAGTTCAACTCAAATCGTAGAAACAAGAGACAAGTAGAATTACACTATATCAAGGGGTTAAGGTTGAAGCCAAAGATTGTGTAATCAAATGAAAGAGAGAAAGAGAATAAATACATCTAGTTACCAGGGCTGGAAAAGAAAAACTGAAACTGGTTCTTTCTGAACACGTGTATAAACCAGGTTTTAAGCGTTTTGATAGAAATTGCTTCAACAAACTTGAGAAGAATTGAGCCTTTTTGTCTATCGATAATTTTAAAGGACTTCGCGATTTCCACCTCACTACCCATATCAAGGAGATGTCTGGTAATGGCATTATTATAAGCGTTTGCAACACATCAGGAATATCAGCATCACACAATTACAAAGAGAAGCATTAAAATGAGAGATTAAACAGGAAAGAGGACAAATAATAAGAGCATTAAGTCCACAGATGGTATTGAAAATGTCAAAACAATGATATATACAGTCTAAAAGAGAAACGGAATAAGTGTCAATATTGTAATCAGACTGTTCAAGAGATATTTTCCAAACAATTATTTCGTTATAGACAATTTGAGATGCTGAGGACGAAGTCACAAAGCACAAGTGACAGGTGGGTTGATTAACAAAAATATGACTTCAGTGAGTTCTACTATAGGATCATTGTAACTGTATAGTTGAAACTTCCCTAACTATGATACATCAGTCAACATCCAGCATATTTCACAAGTGTGTCCTCGGTTACAGCAAACGTTGAGTTTAAGACATTATTCACTCAAATCGTGACTGTTCCATTGAAAGGTTGATGAAGAATCAATGAATGTCAAAAAGAATTTCATCGTGAATGATTGTCGCTCAAGGAGGATTACACTCCATCTATCTTTTGTCATTATTACCTATGCATTTTACGTTAAGGAGTTAAAGAACTTTATGGTCTTTCATATTCAAAGCAAGCTTTCATTACTCTCAAGTCTGTGTAGACGTCAACAGAACTCCTCAGAAGGAGAAATAACATCCGGATTTTCAGCTCCAATGTGAAGTCAGTCAGTGATACTATGTGAATCAGAGACCAGAGCGTCATGAATGGCACTTCAAGCAAACTACACACCTTCATCAACAGTTGTCTTCTCTCAATACTACTCAAGATCAGATATCCAGAAAAGATCAGGAACAGGGGGTCTCTGTGGGCGAACTAACCCAGTAGAAACAAATATGCAGGAAGAAATGGAGGTTGATTGGCCATACTCTGAGAAAACAAAGCATCAATTGACATCACACGCCAGGCCATCTCTCGAGTGGGACCTCAACAAGAAGCGGAGAGTTGGTCGTCAGTGCGAGGGTGGGGTGATATGGAGGAGGTCATGTGAATAGGAGATGGAAGCATATGGACGGCGTAGAGCCAGGTTAAAACGTTTGCAGAGAACTGAACGCAATGTGGACGTGTGACTGTAGCCCTATGTTCCTCTAGGAACTAAAGGAGACAATAATATAATAATAATGGTCTTTCTGACTATTAGAGAGGTAACAACAAGAAGCTCTACGAAGATATCTTTCCCGCGATTTTGTCCTCAAACCTGCACAGTCACATTTATGAACATATGTTTACAATCATTTATATTGTTATTTAATTCGACATAATACCGAAGTTGGTTAAACGTGAATATAATTTTCAACTTGGTGTAGAAATTTGAAGGTGTGAAGGTGAATAGATTACAAGGGTCTTAGAAATAAAGTTGCACATGATTAGGAGACAGCTGCGTCATATGTGAAAAAAATTTTTTAAGAGAATACAGGTGTGAAAGGGATGAGCATAGTCGTTTTTTATTGGTGAAGTGAAAAAGCATGAAGGGAATGAAAAAAAACAAAAAAATATGAAACTAAAGAAACTTCAAACATTTATTCCGCTCCATTAATTTGCATAATTCAAGAACAACAGTTAGTGCAGAAAAAATAAGGTAGTCATCTTTGTCAATCAGCACCACTCCTAAGCCTTTTTCAGGTGGCAGTATGGTGACTGTGTCATTATTTCTGAAGGTTTGCAATGCTCTTTGATGCTTCTCACAAGGAACTTTGGAATATGATATCGAGGAAATGAGTTATTGATTTGCACCGCTGACCAGCTCAGGCTTGAGCCAGGACTTCTTGTCCGCATAAACTGGACAAACCACCGTTCTTATTTTATTCGAAAGCTAAGGAATTAAACTGAACTAGATCCACGGTAAGTGCAGAGGTTGAACTAGTTTCTTTTGAACAAATAGCTCTAAATTTTCCATGCATTTGATGAGGGCGTCTGCAGTACAAAGAAGCCAGAAGCACACTTCTTCTGATAGATTTTTGTTTACTTTGTAAATGAGTGTAAATATTGAGTCAGATGAGATGCTGTGACAGGTGTTGACGAAGTGTTAAATTATGACGCTTCTTATTCAACTGGTGCCTCCTCCTCTTTTCAGCCATTTTACATATAACGCAACTATTTTCTTATCATGCATGATTGTGTTTCTAAACCCCCTGTAATCTATATTCACAACTTCAGACTTTCATATCAAGTTGAAAATTGCTATCTCCCTTCGTTACTATGTGGAATAACACATTGATTGTGTCTATGTGAAATTATGTATATAAGTGCCATTGTGCAGCTCTCAGACTGCAAGTATTATGAATCGTCTTGGCCATCTAATCATATTTTTCACGTGTTAGATAGCCTGTTTATTCCCAGTGATGTGTAGTTATCTCCCAAATTTGACAAGCATTTTTCATTAATGTTTTGCAAGACTTTTAAATAATTTTTTTCATACATCTGTTGAATACGTGTTCTGGAATAAGTCCCAGTATTTGGATGAATATAGTTTTATGCTTCTCTAGTTAACATATTTATCAACTTCAGTCGGTTTCTCATACATTGGGGTTCAGTTTTCTCTGCAATTTCCAATCTCATTACGACAGCAACAGGTGGTCTATGTCGGAAACGTTTTAACACTGGAGATTTATGTCAAACATGCATAAGTAAAGTCATTTTAACACTATTTGATTTTTTCTTCATTTGAAGAAAATCCTCTTTTTACAAACCACTGAATATTCTTCTCGTTTCTAGGACCTTCAGGTCATCGGAATACTTATGCCCTATAACCATGACCTTGATGACACTAACATCTGTTAAGAAAGAATGGAGAAGATATTTTCCCTAGGTTGATGACTTTAACTTTTTGGTCAAGGATCTGGATATTTTATCTGCGAAGTTTTCTTCGTCATCCTGTGCAAAATATTCACCAAACCAAAAAATTAGAAAAATAAGAAAGAAGCCAGCTATATAACTTTTGTTTGAAAGTATAACCTGTTAGCTTAAGATGCTGATCACTGATTAGAGTTAACTTATAGAAAATCTTTTTTCATAAGGTACTTATTGTAAAGTTAGCGGAAGAATGATAGATTCGCATAAATGAAAAATTCCATTTGTTC